GTCTTTACTAACCTTTCTGGGCTGGCAAATGATGATCATTTGTGCTCCGAAAATGAATGAAAATCTTATGGGGTTGGAACAACATGAGGGTGAATAATTATGCTACTGACAAAATTTGTATTTTTGTGTGATATAAATCTCAAGTTAGTGTTTTTAAGCATTTTTTTATATTTATTACAAAGCAATAACTAAAGGCAGTAACAATTTAAACAATATATTTTACTTGTGAATTGATGTTCAGCTGTTCTTTTAAAAACGTATTCCAGATCATCAGTCATCCAACCTCGGTAAACACTGGTCACAGACACAAAGATGTACTTTCATTTCACCAAACTGATTGCTCAGATGTTTTTCAGGCCATTTCACGTTTGATTTTGATGTGACATGAAGCTACACATAAGAGTGTGAATTGTTGTCACATCTAGTTTTTAGTTTTGATTCATGGTCATGTTTCATGCCTTTTATCTTGAAGGTTTCCCATTTCCTGTTCCTGGCTTTGTCATGTCATCCTGCCACGTCCTCCCCTTGGCATTCGTCTAATGTTGTCATTGGGTAATTTTCTTGATTATCTTCACAGGTGTGTCTCTTCTAGTGTAGTCTGTGTATTTAACCCCTCCTTGTTTGCCATGCATCTGGTATTGATGTTTTCAGTTCATGTTTTAGTTTTGTATTGTATTGCAACACATTAGATTATCAATAAACTGCTCATGGGTTCTCCAAGTTTGCCTCATTAGATGAAATGTTATTTACTTTTTAATTAGTCTTCCCGTTAACAGCATTATTTTGTTAATTCAGACCAATTGGCAAGCGCTCATGAAAACAAGAGGCAGGATTTATTGCATAAACCAATTTTACCAATCATAACGCGATGGTGGCGTTGCCTTTTCTCACACAACTCAAAAATCAATGGGCTCAGGGGAGGCAATTCCCGCTATAAATTTATCTGTAATTTTGTAACATGGATTATTTTGTAAACCAGTGTTTCCCAACCCTGTTCCTGGCGGCAGACCAACACTGCATGTATTCTTTGTCTCCCTTATCAAACACACCTGATTCAACCCATCAGCTCATAATCAGGTGGGTTAATGAGCTGATGGGTTGAATCGGGTGTGTTTGATTAGGGAGACAAAGAAAACACGCAGTGTTGGTGTGCCGCCAGGAACAGGGTTGGGAAACACTGTTCTAAACCACGTTTTTGAGGAGGCGCTGCACTGTAAAAAATATTGTTGGTTTAACTTAAAAAAGTAAGTAACCTGGTTGCCTTGAAATTTTAAGTTGATGGAACTGGAAAAAGTGAGTTAATACAATGAATGAGATTAATTTAATCATCAGAAACTCAAAATAATAAGTTATCTCAACTAAATAATTTTTTTAAGTTGATTTGAGAAAAGAAAAAATGTTGTGATTAACAAATCTTGAAAATATTTTTTTTGCCTTGGCAAACACCATTTAGCTTGTGAGCATCAATTGTGTCTGTCTGCCTTAAAGGAACACTCCGACTTTTTGGGACTTTAGCCTATTCATCTTACCCCCCAGAGTTAGATAAGTTCATACATACCTTTTTCATCTCCGTGCGTGCTATAAGTCTGTTTGACGCACCCACCGCTAGCCTAGCTTAGCACAAAGACTGGATGTGAATGGTTGCAGCTTTCATACTAATCCAAATGAGTGACAAAATAACGCAAACGTTTTCCTATTTACATGTTGTGGTTTGCATAGTCACAGAGTGTGCAAATATCAAGGCCATATGAGACACAGACATCTTTTAACCGTATAAATACTATATTTCAGCCCATTCTCACCCCCAAAGCGTCACTTAACTGACGCCTTGGGAAGCATTTGGACATGCTTCAATATCTGACGCTTTAGGCGCCCTTTAGCGTCAGTAAGATGACGCCCTTGGATCGCGTGTACCCTACCCCCACCCCACACCTAAACCTAACCGCGTCCTCTAACTGACGCTTTCCTTTAGCGTCAGTTAGATGACGCCGTAGGATCGCGTCATGTAAGTGACGCTAAAGGGCGCCTAAACCGTCAAATATTGAAGCATGGTCAAAGGTGACGCCTTGGGGTGAGAATGCGTTTTATATTTTCTGAAGGCACTTGGGCAGAGTGATATCCATCACCTGAGACGCACCGTGACGAGGAGCAGAGAGTTCGCACAGTGTTGGAGTAAAGAGTAAAGAGTCAGCAATTACTAACGTTAGATAGAAAAGCATAGCCTAGTTTATCATGGGTGTTTGCATTATTGTATGAGCTGTGACAATAAACAGGGGAGACCAGGTAATACAGTACCATGTTTCATTGATTTCCAACCAAAAACTCACCCAGATTTATAAATATCACAGAACATGAATAAATAATTATTATTACAGGAATCAATATATTTTAAATGCAATTTATTAGCTGAACCAAATGTAGTCAACAGTATATAATATACAGTATAATTGCATTACTATAGGATAGAATAAGGGGAAAGTAATAGCACAAATTGTTTTTGCACAATGAACTCACAGCCTATCGTACCCTTTTGCACGCTCAAGTTCGTTATTTCCATGGTTAGCCTATTTCAAATTTAGGCTACTAGGCGCGCCGCGCGCAGGGTGCAAGTTCAACGCGGTGAACGCGCTCGTTTTTTTCCAAGCGCGTCCGCACCGCATCAAGATAAAAACATATTCACACCCTAATCATATAATAGTGTCACTAACGTCACATTAGCTCTGGCTAATGGCACTGTTACAGTAGGTCATCTAAAAACATAACGGAACACTTACCTCAGCCGCAGGTGATCCACTTGTCCTGTCTGTGCTATCGATGGGATGGCCGTATCCTTCAGCACATTATGGTCCGTGTGGCAAATTCCATTTTTTCAAAATAGTCGTCCTCATTGAAATGTACCGAGCAAACGTAATGTCCCTTGATAATAATTTAAGGTGATAATTTAGGTGTGTTTGGATCAATATCCAGAGTAAGTAAGTTAGCCATTTCTTCATCCAGTCAGCGAATTCTGTGAAAAATGGTATTACCTCCCCTGTTTACTGTCGCAGCTATTTGCAATAGAGCGAAAACCCATGACTGTAAACTACGCTTTTACTATTTATAAATTGCTGTCTCTGTTACCCAAACATCTGAGCGAACTCTCCTCACCACGGATCTATACTATAGCTAGACCGTCTTGTCTCAGGTGATGCGGTTATCACTCCGTCAACAGTAGCATGTGCTTCGCCTTCAGAGAATAGTTCCCAGCGTTTTATACGGTTAAAATGATGTCGTGTGGTTTCTTCATTTGACTTTGTTATTTGCTAACATTCTGGTCGACTATTACAAAATCACAACATGTAAATAGGAAAACGTTTGCGTTATTTTGCCACTCATTTGGATTAGTATGAAAGCTGCAACCATTGACATCCAGTCTTTGTGCTAAGCTAGGCTAGCGGTGGGTGCGTCAAACAAACAGCACACACGGAGATGAAAAAGGTATGTATGGACTTATCTAACTCTGGGGGATAAGGTGAATAGGCTAAAGTCCCAAAAAGTCGGAGTGTTCCTTAAACCTTTCTACTGCCCTCTTAACCAGTTTGTAGAACATATTTTGCTTCATGAGTATAATGCGCTCAACTCAGCTGGACTGAGGCATTTCCACCATAAAGGTGCTGTATGATGCACAAAATTATCATTATTAAGTTTTGAAGAAAAAATTATTTTTCAATTTTTTTCAAGTTCATGCAAACATGAAAATTCTGTCATCATTTACCCACCCTTACTGTAAGTTGTTCTAAACCTGTATAGCCTATTTGTTCTGTTGAACACAAAGGAAGATATTTTGAAGAAAGTTTGTAACTAGACCGCTTTGGGGCACCATGACTTCCATATAGGTTAAAATAATATTATAGAAGTAAATGGTCAGAATTGTTCAGCTTCCCACATTCTTTAAAATATATAGATCCTTTGTGTTCAACAGAACAAATACATTATTACAGGTTTGGAACAACCTGAGGGTAAGTAAATGATGACAGAATTTTCATTTTTGGGTGAGCTATCCCTTTGGGGATGCAAATCAAACCAGTCACTCATGGGGGGAAACATTTGTAAAACATGTAAAACAACCAAATAGATAATTCGTTTATTCATAAATTGTAATTATTAATTACTCACTATATATTTATATTACTGTTAGTAAGTAATTAAAACATAAATTTCTGTTGCTGTGGTGGGGAGGCTATATGAATATGCGGTTTTGATGTATTGTGGGTGTGTACTGCAGGTTGTTATGTGATTGTGGGTGTGCATGTGATCACACTGGGTGTGTTGCGGGATCAGCACTGCTGGTGCAGAGTTTTTTTCTTTTTTTCCACCTGTGAGAAACCATTGGCATTTTCAGACTTTCATCTTGTAATTTCTTTGTCGTATCTCCACTGGCCTTGAGCTGCAGCTTGTTTCTCATACACAGAGGTCATCTCACCCTCTGCTGCTCTGATCTGCCCTTTTGCATAGCTAAGCAACTAAGTAAAGGGTATAAACTCAGATGAGTAACACCAATAATTAAGGACTTGATGGTATAATTTTACTTGAGGACATTCATTACAAGTCTGTATACTAAACCTGCGTCACTTTTTTATACAGAATTTGCTTGCACAAAAAGAAGGTTATCTGAGCTTGTGCTCCAAGTTAAGATGTTCATGAATGTATATTGACATTAATATGTTAACTGAGCAGTGCAGGGCTCTGCCACGATGTGGACACAAGTGTCTTTGTTTGAAATTGATACTTTTTCCAGTTTGATAGTTTTTTTTTTGTTTGTTTTTTGCACTTTTATGTAGTGTTTTAAAAAAAAGTTCCAAGCCTCGAATGACACTACAAAGTGTTCAGAAATGTTTATTGATTGAATAGTTTTAACTATAAAAATATAATGTTAACTGTGTCGACAACTTCACAAAAAAAGAAAATCATTGTTGAAATAACTGGAAAAATAACTAACAAAAGATTTATGATGCTGATGTGTTTTTTCATGACGGTTACTTTTCACTGAAAGAATCGGACATTGCTTGGATGGCATTTCCTGCAAGCATATTTGTTTTTGTTTTGCTTATTGTTCTCTAAAGAAAGAGATATTGTAAGAAAAAATCTTAAAATCACATAATATACATATTTATAAACAAATACTTCGTTTGTGAATGGTGTTTATCCCACAATATTCAAATGTTTACAATTTAGTTTCATGTGTTCGTTTATCAGCTTCTTTCACTCTCGATTGTTTGCAGTGAGCTGCATTCGGAGGACATTGTTCCTAATGAGTCGAAGACGCACCATTTCCCCTTTCTGGGAGCCCAGGGTAAGTCCCCTCCCAACCAGAAGCTGGAAATGAGCGTTAATAGCTAAACATCTAAGTGTAAACATACCGCCCATTTTAATTTTCACTATCAATATCCATCAGAGGAAGTTGAGGGCACAATCTTTGTGGCGCCTTCAAGTCTGAGAACATTTTGTCCATATACCATATTATTTATATTATGTCGAACTCGAAGCAATGTAAGTCACACATTTCCTGTGTTTGTGCTTGGACTACCTTTTAATGCATCTCTGATTTCTCATATCACTAACCCCTTGTAGTATAAAGTATCATTAGATGGGGACATTTCCATTTAAAGATGATTTGGTTGAAGCTCTCTCCAGGGTGGAGCCGTTGCAGTATTCAGTGAAAAGGAGCTCCTAACCTGCTCAAATGAGAGTAATGATGGAGAGGAGGTGGTGGCACTGTTTGGCATTCCTCAAGAGGACATGCTGCTCATTAGAGCCTTCATTAAACACAGCTTAGTCTCCATTCTGATAGAGAGACCATCACACACAATTACACTCAAGTAGGCATTTACTGCCATTAGCTCACCTGACTGAACACATCACCAGAACACCCAATCTCGTTTTTTTTTCCCTTTACCTTTTTTTAAAATTCATTACTCAAAGACTACTCTAAACTGGCAATATTATACATATTTAACACGTAGAGCTGAATTCTATATTTATTGAATTGAATAGCCTATGGGTGCATCAGTAGCACTAGTACATTAATAAATACAAAATTATATTAAAAACTACATCGCAGAAAAGGGAACACTTTGAGGTAAAAATATCATTGTTTAAATATTTTATAATATTGCTGAATCGTTTTCACTTCATGTAACTGTTATAATTGCCACAAGTAGTGCATAAAATATTGTATGTATAAATTTTGAGTTCAGTCTGATGTATTTCTATAACTAAAGCAGACAATATTTGGGATTAGCACCAGCTGGTTTCCAGGGTATGTTCACTTGATCTCCAAACAGTGAGTTACTTAAATCATTTGCAAGTGACTGTACTACATGTGTGATCGTATGCATAATATTAGGTTGAGGACATAGTCTAAGACAATATTTACATTTCCAAAAAAAATGGGAAGATGTTTTTTTATTGTTATTATTGTCTCTTTTTTTCCAATCACTCTCTCTATTAAACAGAAAACATATTGCCAACCTTTTAATATTAATACTTCACTGATAAGACATAATTAAACAGTATACTCAGATACTGGAGGATTAATGCAACATAATATTTACCTGTTTCATTGGTTTGATTGATCAATACATTAAACATTTTCCAGAGGGGAAATTCAAAAAGTTTTTTCCTGTATAAAAGTTTTCCCCCTGCCCCATCAACAGTCATTTCAGGACAGCGAGGATCATCTCAAACATACTCAGTCCGATTTCTCGAACCATCGACAGTTCTGATGTCCTGTCTTTGATGGAGATACACCAGATGTGCTTCACTGTATCTTGAGTCATTGCAAGACGTAAATAACAGGATCCCTGCCACAATGTCGAGAAGTGCTGCGGACCAGCCGATGAACAGCGCGTCCCCAAACTCTGAGCGGGGCAACACGTGAGGTGTGCTCTCATCGAAGAACTTCGTGACAACATGATGAGCGACGTAGGAAACGGGAGTGAACACCAACATTCCAGCGATGCACAAAAACACAGCAGCCGAGATCTTCAAACCTCGCTTGGTCCTTCGTCCCTCCTCGCTCTTGCAGCAGTTGATCTGACTCATGGCAGGGATGGCGAGGAGAAGTCCGAGAAGACATGTGGCATCCGACAGGCATATCAGAACACGGGCCAGCATCCACATGTGATCGAGGCCTAGGAGAGTGTCATAGGGCCGGCACTCCGTGCCAATCACCTCGTGGAACACGCACGACTCCCAAAGCCCTTGTTCGTGGCTCTCCAAGGTAAACAGTTCAGTAGAAAGCGACAGCCACTGAGGCATAATGGTGGCCGCCAGGGAACAAAACCAGCCCCCCATCCCGATCAGCATCCCCAGAATTTCCAGAGCCACATTGCAAGGGTTTGTCATGGTTACCTCTGACTACCGTGTCCCTCTCGGGGAACCTCGAGAACCTCTTCTCGTTGAGAGAAATGAGAGAGGAATGAAGAGTAGGAGAAGAACAAAAGCACCTTGGATCCTGATATTGTACAGTTCTGCTGGCAGGTTCTTCACAGTCCGTCAGTCTTCAGCAAGAGGCACTCATCCTCTCAGCACAGGAGGTAGAGGAGGTGTACACATGGGGCGAGAGGCCACTCAAACTTTAGGCCCTGCCCTCTAGGATCCTTTTCAGAGAGAGAGAAAGAGAGAGAGAGAGGGAGAGATAGTTTTATTCAGACTCCAACTTGGCAGCAGGAGACCAAAGGCCACACAGGATTCCATTAAATTCTAGACAGGATGCCATTAAATTCAGGATTGTTGTCATTTTTCAAGGGACAAACTGTTTTGATTTTACTATACCCCATTAGTTTTTGTTTGTATCTTTTCATTTGATTTCCCTGCTGTCGGTAACAGCACTTTGCCGTAGGGATTGCTATCTGGAAAAGAGAAAGGTTTATAAAGGGAGGGAAATTTTCGCTGTTTATAGAGTTTTTTAAGAAATGAGTGGGTGAGAGATAAGCTACGCTGAGTGCCTGGCAGTCCATTCCAGAGCAATTGCAAATATGCAGTGGACCTAACAAGGGATCTTTGAGCCCTCCAGCATGGTTATTTATTTATTTATTATTAAGTTTTTATTGGAATTTTTTCTAAATTTGGATTTAAGTGGGGTCTGAATATATATATATATATATTTTTTATGCATTTTTGGTTACACTTTAGACATTCTCTTGACTAGCCTATAATTAATGTTGCACCTACAGTACACGTTATCTAACTCTAATTAGAGTATAAGACTGTTGTGGGTAGAATTAGGGTTAGGTTAGGTTAGAATAAGTTGACATAAACTGAAAAGTTACTTAGTCAGTAGAATGTCTGTTGAAGGACCATCATAAAAAAAGAATTGCTCTCTAAAAATGCTGAGTTGTTTTAACCCAACTTTAGGTCAAATATGGACAAACCCTTAAAAATGTAATTAAAAAAAATAACCCAATGGCTGGGTTTGTCCATATTTGACCCAAAGTTGGGTTAAAACAACCCAGCATATGTAAGCAGATATCTAGAGTATTAATATCAGCTATTAATACTCACTGTAAAAAATATTTTCATGATTTGTAATCACAACATTTTGTCAAATCAACTTAAATAATTTATGTAGTTCAGATAACATAATATTTTGAGTTTCTGGTGATTAAATCAATCTCCTTCATTGTATTAACTCAATTTTTCCATTTCAGTGAACTTAAACTTTTAAGGCAACCAGGTTACTTAATTTTTATAAGTTAAACCAACAATTTTTTTTTTTTTTTTTTTTTTTTTTTACAGTGTAATATGAGTTAGTTTACATGTAGGTCCAATACGTCATCAAAATGTCTAAAGGGGACCACACTCTAAAAAATGCTGGGTTGTTTTAACCCAATTTTGGGTAAAATATGGACAAACCCAGCCACTGGGTAAAAAATGTAATTTAAAAATGTAACCCAATGGCTGGGTTTGTCCATATTTTACCCAGAATTGGGTTAAAACAACCCAGCATTTTTTAGAGTGCATCAAAATAAAGTATTACCACTTTTTTTTTAATGACTAATCATTTTCTTTGCAGAACCATTGGAGTGAGAATTTATGTGTGTAATATATGTTCCATAAGTTTGTACAAATCCTGATGATTCATTTAATTTACCCATGCATGATTGGAGAATAACACTCAAAAAATGCTGGGTTATTTTAACCCAACTTTGGTTCAAATATGGACAAACCCAAACATTGGGTTAAAAATGTAATTGAAAAAAATGAACCCAATGGTTGGGTTTGTCCATATTTGACCCAAAGTTGGGTTAAAACAACCCAGCAATTTTTAGAGTAGTCTGACCATTTTTACAGAACAGTAGTGATCTATTTCTATCTATTTGATGTCCTACAGAGATAGTGCTGAATCTTTCCCTTTATAGATTCACATTTGTGCATTTGGCTGACACCATTATCCAAATCCACTTGCATTGCATTCGAGGCCAGTATATGTGTGAAAGGGAAAGGGAATCGAAACCACTTGACATTGTTAGTGTCATGCTTCACCAGTTGAGCTACAGAAACATGAAACATTTTTTTTTTTCCTTTCTGAGTGAGAACATGTCATTTTGAGTTTCAAAGGCCTTCCTATATCATATGCAACATCCTTTTGTGTTAGATATTAAGCTATTAAACATATAGCCTTCATGTTTTGGTTACTAACAAAAATACATTTTAAGTGCATTTAAGTTCTGTGCAATAAAGCGTTGTCATTGATACTAATGTACTTTAAAGTATTTTCTTACTGTGAAAAAAGAATGAGAATGTGACCTGAAGTGTGAGGCTGTCTCATTTGATCTGGCTTCTGCAGCATGTGGTGATATAATAGTGTTGAGTAGTGTTCATTGCACTTACAGAATGCCACGTGACGTATGGCAGCGGCTGATGAACAAATCTATGACGTGAAACTGTGGCTCTCCACATAATTGGCTCTCAACAAACACATAATTAACACACACGCATTTCAGACCTTATCTAAAAAAGATTATGATTAGTTAGTTGAGCAAAAAAACAAAAACAAAAAAAACAACAACATTTAATTGTTAAGAAGTTCAGCATCAACATTTAAAACTCTTTTATCATTTACTCACATTAATGTCATTTTAATCCAATATGATTTTGGAATCGACCATGCACTATTCACTTATGAAAAAGACTATAGCATCAACATTCTTCGAAACTCCTTTTGTGGAACGATACAAGGGTATATTAACTATGACAAAATTGCTGTTTTTATGTTATCTATTCTTTTAAATCCCTGTAAGTTGATAAGGGATGTTGAGGTTATATAATAATTATTATAATAAATAAATTGAGCTCTAAAGCCACTTCTGGAAATAAATGTAAGCTATTTCATTGGCCTTGTGTCTTCTCTCTCTCTCTCTCTCTCTCTTTCCCTGAGATTTTGTATATTGTTCCACATAATATTTATAATTTTAATGACATTTAATTTAGTTTGACAATAGGCTGAATATACAGCGTGCAAGTGCACCAGCTTTTAAAGTATTTAGTGTGATGAGGAATGGAAACGGATGAGAAAAAATAGATTTATTTAATCCTACAGGAAATAGTGTGATAAGGAGGGAGCAGGGCTTTTCTAATAAATACACAGAGGTTTGATCTATGATGCCAGCATTAAAGGCTAGAGGTTAGAGAATTGAAAAGAAATTACAAACTGGGGACTACAATACTCAAATTTAATTGTTTATATTAAGAAATATGCAGAGGTTTAAAATGTGTAGTAAACCAGTACAGCCTCTAGAGGCTATATCATGTGATTGAATATATAGGCCTCAGAGAGCGATAAAAAATGAAATGTGGTTATATGTTCATGCAATAAACAATAAACAACAAAACAGAACAACTAAAATACGTTGTTTCTAAATTATTATAGATAGGCCTCACTGGAGTAAAAGAGGTGTCAACTGTAGGCTATAGACAACACATTTGCAACTGTTGCGGTATGTAGAAAAAAAGAGCTATAGGCTGTAATCGCTAGATGGCGCTCTTATACTAAAAATGGAAACTAAATCAAGCGACTGAAGCTTTTGTGTTTCTGTGATAAGGTGTAAACGGTATTTTCTCATATCTTGAAAATGTTCAAAATTATACTAGCCTTCAACAATTTACCACGCAATAACGAAAGGAAATACATATGAAATTATGAATAGGCCACTTTAAAAAAAAAGATAAAAAACATTTTTTTTTAAAGGTGCTGTATGCAACGTTTAGCGACCTCACTGCAGGTACAATAATAGCCTAACTTACTTTTATCAGCTTGACGTGCTCATACCATGATCATAATGTTACAATAAACTGCATTTAGCCGACATGTGATGTTATATAGCATAAGCCATTTCTCTAACTATTCGTGTATCTTGCAATAAGCAATGTCAACATAGGTGAATGTATAATATGATAACGAAAACGGTTAGTGAACTAGACTGAACAGTTTCAGTGTATCAGTAAGATCGTAGGAAGTAACAATACTGTACTGAACGTGTCTGGAAATGTGTATAAACAATATGGTAGTGGGATGACGACATTAGTCAGTACGTTAGATCTAGTAAATAAAATAAGTTACATACTAAATGTTATACTAATGTTATCCTGGAACATTATTTTGTATTCATGTAATGTTGTAGTTTACCTTGTTATTTCACTTCGAGTTTACTATGTTGATCCGCGTTTTCGTCCGGAGTCGATTAGATTCACGTTTTGCCTGACGAGCTTGAGCAGATAAAACCTTTTTTGTTTTTTATATTTATGTGGAGTTTGTGTTGGAGTCTGTGTGGAGGCAGGACGTTTTGGGGGGTTATCAGACTCCATGTCGTCAGCTGAAGTGCCGTTGTTCGCATGAAAGAGAGGCTCGGGACTCGGGAGCGCGCATGCACGTCACTTCTGATGGATTTCGCAGGAAATCCGACCCGGAGACCTCGCATATAAATAAGAATATTGGCCTTCAGAGGTAATGGCAAAACCCGAAAAGTGGATCGTTGCAATGTGTGATTACAACCCCTTCAAACACAGGCAATAAAAAAAGGATTCATTTTATAAAAATAGTTACATATACAACCTTTAAATAGGCCATAGGCATACTAGATAAATTACGAGTCTAGTGCCCTAACGTGTAAAACAAAAAACCAATTTACCCAATGACTATTTACCCAATGAGATTAACGTTGCTTTGAAAAATTATAGGTCTATGGTCTATTCATTTAAAAGTCTTAAAAACAACAAATAAAAAAAAAAAAATCACACCCATCACATGGGTATAGAAAAAAATGTATCCACTTCCATCAACAACAATCCCAAAATCATACGAGCGCCACTATTGGGTTACTTCCACATACGTATGCATTCGGAGGCGGTGCTTATGCAAATACGCCTGCCCGAATATGGACAGTGTGGAATGAAAGATGGTAGATAGTCAAACATGGAGGACCGACACAGAGAGTCATGAGAGCGGTGCAAAACTTTTTGGAAAAGGTGGATGCAGGACTGCCTGTGTCGATTTGACCCGCGGTTGTTTCTTCGGTGTGAAGTTTTCTGTTTCCGAGAGTTGATGGGAGTTACACTTTTGTAATGCAGTAGAAAGTTGTGATATATTTGTTGTTGGAGTAAAGGAAGGGGGTCCCAGCAGCGCTATGCCGTGGGTGAGCAGCTGTAAGCGGAGAGAGAGCTCAGAGCTGCCGCTGCCCCCGGGCTGGGAGGAAGCCAGGGATTTTGATGGCAGAGTCTTTTACATTGACCACAACACTCGACAAACTTCATGGATCGACCCCAGAGACAGGTAAAAGTGACCCCGATGTGCTGCATGCTTTATTGGCTGAAGTTTGATAATTGTTTGGTTGTAGAGGGCGGGGGCTCAGATTGAAGTGATGATTAAGAAGCGAGGGAAGTTGCACAGTTCGGAATGGAAGTGTTTTCATTCCACAGGCCAGAGCTGACACAGTGTAACATGGCTGGTTGTTTCTTTGTGCTTGTCATGCCAATTTGCTGCCACATTATGTGCAGTGCAAATTCTGAGTTGTCTTTCAATGACTGTTCACCTGAAAAAGTCCAGTAAAATGGCTATTCAATCTTGTATAGTGGTGTTTGTATGAACTTCCTTGATTTATTACTGTTTGGTTGGATTTGTATGAAACAGCATCAGGAAAGAGGCAAACTTTTTGATGATGTCCCCACATCTGTTTGATAGTATTAAAGTCCCAAGTGTAATACTTGACACAGTGCATGTCAGTTTACATTTACAATAGACTCCAAGATTATTGCAAAATTAGGATTAAAGAAGATGAAATATGAGTTCTAATATTTCTATTGTGTGTCTACATCATGATAAATGTATTTGCTGTTAAAATATAATATATATATAATTTAAAAAATATATAGTATATAAACTGTATATGTGTTTATAAAATGATTAACACTAAATAACATATTACATTATAACCAGCTGATTGATGACATTTTAATAAGCATCCTAAAATCTTCTCTTGTCACAAAAGAATCAGTGTCAGTGAATACCATTTCAAAGACTACAACAAATTTAATTCAGAAAATAATTGAATCAGTGTTGATGACAAAAGTTATGTGATATTGAACCGAGTTGCCTTAAGTGTGATGTAAATTTGATTATAATTAGATCTAACATTATCAGTGTCAACAATTTAGCTATTCCTAATTGTCAGTCAAATATAAAAGATACACATTGGCATTTGCTCCTTGTCACCCGCATCATTTGTCATCTTGGCTAAATCTAGATGGGGTCAGGAAAGAATGCTCTCTCTTTAACTTTTGTCTTTGAAAAATCATTATCGAATGTGGGCTGTCTCTTTGCAGTAAGTTTGAACATTTCTGAATTTAGAATATCAACAGAAAACAGTTTGCACCATTTCTTCAGTTTTCCTAAGAAGTAGTAGAAAGGCAAAATCACATATATTTTATTGCTATTTTAATTCATCTAAACATATATATTTTTCCTCCGCTATTTCTTTATTTTTTTAAATGGTCACATAATGTAAACAGTGTGCAAATGAAAGAGAGAACTGTAGTTCCAAGAGTTCCATGTGCAAATATGTTTGGAATGCTAGTTGGGCCGCTGGGAAAGCAGTGTGGATGTGCTTTGTGAGGTCTGTATTTTCACCAGCAGAGAAACCAGCCTTTCAGCCCGACTCATTTAAACACAAGTTCACTTGAAGCCTTGTGTAAATTCAATAGAGGGGATTTTGCCTTGAGGGTAGTTAACATGGTTTCATCTTAATTTGTAGGGTCACTTGTGTCAAAACAATGAGCAAGCAGACCACCACCTCAAAGGCAGTTCTGTCATTGTATGACTCTGATTGGATGGTCACATTGTGCTGAGAACAGATAATTTGGATTACATTTTACCACTAATATTTATATAATCCAATAATAATAACAAGAAATACATTTAGCTGTATTTAATTTGAGTACAATTAGAAAATTTTAGCCTCTCAGATGACTGAATCTACTTTTGTTATTGTCATTAACATCTCACCGCTGTCATAGGCATGGACTCTGCAACATCCAACACCAATTGAAAGTCTTTCACTTTTGCATTCATTGCTCTTGTGTTATGTGGTGTATGTTTCGTTTTCACTCTAAAGCATCTTTAACGCCTTCTTCCACTTTTCCTCTCCTTTTCAAGAGTAGTAATGGAGTAGCTTAAAATTAATCAAGATAAGAAAAACCTGATCTGCTTGAAGGCTCCCCTCGACAAAGGCATGTGACATGCTTTTGTAATGTGAAGCTGATTAGAGTCTGAGAAATCTCATATTTTCATGTCAGGAGAGCGGTAAGGAGTTATCCAGCAGATGTTGAGGACAACACATTGAACTGGGGCACTCATGTGGGCGACATGAGTTAAAGTTGGTCTCATGACATTCTCTCTCTTTTCCTTTTTCTCTTCTGTTTTCTTTCATTGAGTCAGTATGAATGGCAAAATAGCTTGAAAATAATACAAGAACATCCACAACGTAACTTGTGACGCAAACATCAGAGTTACTAATGTGCTGTATAGCCTCTGATTATGCCACAATTCTGCTTTTATTTGTCTTGTCTGTACCTAAACTACATTTGTAAATTTGTAATTACATTACAGTCTTGTCGATTGTGGACTTTATTGAAGGCATATATCTGTTAAGACTAGTCTAGTTTGGGGGTCAACCAAAAAGTACAAGTGCTGGTCATATTTATTGTCTCATGCACATTTGGCAGTAAAGCATTGCTTTTTAAGTTGAGAATTTTAATTGACACCTAGTTCATTATATTGGCTTAAATATTCTGACAGATAAACCGAGTTGGTACATCTTATCAGATTTTTGTAGCTATACCTCTGGCTCTTAAAGGGATAGTTCACCCAATGAAATGAAATTTCTCTCATCATTTTTCTCACTCTCAAGTTGTTCCAAACCTGAATTAATTTCTTGCTGAACACAAAAGAACATATTTTGAAGAATTTGAGTTAACAAACAGTTGATGGGGCTCATTGACTTCCATAGAATGGAATATATAGATATTGAAGTCAATGGGCCAGTCAACTGTTTGGTTAGCCTTTTATGTTCATATAAGTGAATCATACAGGTTTGGAACAATTTGAGCGTGAGTAAATTATGACAAATTTTCCATTTTTGGTTTTGCTTTTAATGAAGAATAGTCATTTCTGGAAACCTATAAGGACAAACAATGCCATATAGCATTAGAGTAGAATATAATTCACTATGGAAACTAAAAGCCTGATCCATCATTTTTTAAATTCCAGCTTTCCTGTCTTTGATTTTACTTTGATCTTGCATTTATGGACGTTTTCGGTAGTTCTTTACCATTATTTTCAGAGATTATCTTAGGGACTGCTTCAGAGCACTAATCACTGGTACACCCTACCTCTAAAATAAAATAATTGTAGTTAATACATAATAATTGTTAATGAAATTTATATTATTATTATTATTATCATTAAATAATATTAATAGGAAATGAAGTTGAACATGGGCATGATGTTTTACACCACCACCTTGTTTGAGCATCAACCCTGCACCAGTGAACATGAGTTTTCAGGTTTTCAGGCCCAGTGACGGCTTGTAGTGAAAATTGGAATCAGTGTGTGAATTCACTGCACAGTCACCTGGGAAACCACTGGAGCTCCTCTGTGAAACAGGGCCATCTTCCAGCACCTGCCCCTCACTCCCTAACTGCATGCTACCACTTCTCTTTAGGACACATTGAAAACCTTCATTGATATCCTAAAAGCTTACCCAATTCAATACCCAAACCCGTTTTTGCCTCTGTGTTGTGGTGTTTGCTTGTAAGCGTCCTTTAGGATGTATCTGTGAAATTTGAATCATTCTTAGCTGGGTGTGACTTTCATCGAAAAAAGAAAAAGTGAAATTATTCTGTGGGATTGCATTTCTGTCATGGCTTGAAATTGTCACGTGACTGCAATTTGAGCAGCAAACCTCGCAGTGCAAAAAAGAAGTGTTCATTTAAGAATTCATCTCTAAAATTTAGTGAGAAAGTTTATATCTTTAATTTCAATAACATAAAAGAGGTCTTTTTATATTTTATATTTTCAGTATTGTCTTCAGTGCTTTGGTTTACAAGAGGGGCTTTGCGGAAGGAAGGGCGCTTCACCTCGGCAAGACAATAGTCGGGTAAACAGCGAATATCGCTTGCGTCCGTTAGCCGTAAAGACTGTCCGCTGCATGGTTTCCTAAGGTGACTCCCTAAGAGTCCGCTCTCCTTCGTCCACTCGCTCCAGCATAGTTTCTGTGGGGAGGCTCTTGTGACTGTGGAATGAGTGCAATGTCAGGCATGCTTACACTAATGTCTGAGGGACTCTGCCCGTGATCGGCCCTAGACAAAGCTGCCCAATGGAGGCCGCAGTTCCCACGTGTCTTCCCTCCCTCCATGCCCAGGCCCCAGCGGCTCTCCCTTTTATTCTTTACAGGCTCTGTTATGCAATGGCCGCAGCCAGGCCTGCCGCTTGGCAAAGGGAAGCTTTTATACGTGGTCACAAAGCACACCAAATTCAATTATTCTGGAAAGTGGAAGCCGTGTTGCCAGCGCCAAAAGGTTATTCACATGAGCGCAAGCCCCTCAGTGCTATTTTGCTTCCCTTGGTGTTTTCATTATGTCGGTTAAGGGAGGGCAAGGTTTTTGTTGTTGTTGTTGTTAAAAGGGGTTGGTGAACATGGCTTTTGTTTCATGCGGAGTGTGTTTGTTTGGAAGGTTTGACAACAGTTTGTGTAGATACTATGTACTCCAATTATTGTCATGGGATCTATATGATGAGAGATTACAAACACATCCTTGTAAAGGCATAGGGTTCAAGCATCTTTTTTTGGACCACAATCTATGTATTGCGTTACAAAATTCCAGAACATTTGAAAAATACAGACTATATGAAAGCCACACAAAGACAAACGATTTACTGAAAAATGCTCAATAATCCAGCCTAGGGTCAAGTCATTATGCACTTTATCAATGATTTTGGATAAATATGTAATTATGTAATTTAAAGTGCCCCTATTATGCTATTTTATAGGTTCCTAAATTTGTTTTGAAGGTCTCTCACCACAGGGTTACAACTTTACATGCAAAGGTCAAAAAACACTTTGATTTTGTCATAATATACATTGCACATCATCACCACATTTATCAATGATTCTCAAAGGACTCAATGGATAAATCAGTCTCTCTACATCCCTATTATCCGCAAGCTTTCTCTCTGCGCTGATTGGGCAGACGGCCTAGTCTGTTGGTCTGTCGCTT